TTCAGCTTGACATTACACCTCAACTTCTTCAGACACCAATCTTGCAAGAATTTCATGACATTATTGATAAAATTCTTCATTGAATGCATCGATATTAAAATTCATTGCAGCTCGAACAATTTCGCGCAGGTGCGAAGTACGTGTGACACATTTCAATTGGTTTCGCGTGAAAACCGCAAGAAACTACGGTCGAGTTATTGGAAATATATTTGGTGTAATCGTGTGAGTTATTTCACATAATTTTCTTCGTTTTCCTACTAGCCTTTTCTCAAGTAGACCATGGTCTTATGCGATAGTGAATTCAAGCTTTTTCTCTTAAGTAAATTCGTTTACGTATGGTAATATTAAACCTGTTTTTATAATAACTATCGTGAGACATACTAAATTAACTAAAAATCGCAGGTCACTCCCGTGATTATACTGAGAAAAGCTCTACTAGTTTCGAACCACAGAGGAGTACTTCCTCATGAGCAGCGTGCGCGGACGCGGCGATGTCGCGCAGCCTTTGGTTCGAAACTAGTAGAGCTTTTCTCAATATATTCACGTGAGTAACCCGCGATTTTTAGTCAAAATATTAAATCTAGCATTCAATCTTTCTTTCTGTATCGAAAAGCTATTCGTATGCTTATCCTTCTGTCATCAGTGATATAAAGAGATAACATACAGGTATACAGACTTCTGACGCGCTACTAAGATATAATAAGTACCTATCCTGGATATTGTTAGATCGCAGCGTGTTTTAATCTTTCTTTGTATCAAATTCCAGTACGTTGTGCATGAAAGAGTAAATAGCATCCATACATTCACACGAACTTTCACATTTGAGTAGAATAGTTAATTCATAGTTTTAAGCAAAATATCAAAACTGAAATCAACTTAAAATCTGCAATAAAACTAGTTATAAGTTAGCACCACGTGACCGTGCGTTTGAACTGGGTCAAAGCGAAGCCGAGCCATTATGCAGCGCGCTGCGGCTGATTGGATTCATTATACCGAGATAAAGGTTAATTATTGCCGCCACACGCCACCACACGTTACCCCTGACATACGGAAATTAGAGATAGTTCATAGATTTCATGTTGGAATTAGAAATATTGTATTATAACCTATTATAATTTTTTATAAGGGGGGAAAATCATCGAATGACTGCTCCCGCCTGTTTGAGGCGGGAGGGGGTGTCAGACTCTTACTGACTAAAAACCACCCCATTCCTTCTCCTGCACGTCGAGCCGGAGCCCCGTTAACCCGTTAGGTTCTCCGCGACATTATAACCTATTGTGGGGCATATTTACTATGTTGTACGGCTTACTCATGTGTCGTTTGTTGCGCAATGCTACTCATAGGTAGGTAAAGGCCCCCAACGCAGCTTTAAACAAGTTAAGTACACGCTGTTCCAAACTCAGTTTATGGCTTCTTCAAAGAAAAGTAATCTTAATAACAAGTCAATCTTAACCAAAAAAAAACAACAAATATTCTACCTCAATTAGTCACAGTAGGCTGCACGACTTTGCTGTGACCGCGCACGCTGCTTATAACACAGAGCCCCTCTGTGGCTCAAAACTAGTCGAGTTATCTCAGTATATTCACGTGAGTCCCCGTGATTTTTATTTAATTTAGCATACTAAATACTCACGATAGTTATTATAAAAGTATTCTACCTTCATATACGAAGCATTCTAAACAGTTATTGTTTGACATGATACTGTTGTTTAATTTCAATATAAAACCTCTTCTTACATAAGACATTAGTACGATGACAATATTAAATCCGTAGAGCCCTCAGAAACTCTTGACCTCCTCCGAGGGATATAGTTTGTCAAATACTCCCTCCCTGTAATATATCTCTTCCAAGAAATTTCTTTGTCATGGGCCCGTACATGCAAATAGAATCTTCGTTGAGTATACATTAGTTGGGAACTCAAAATGAGAATAAAATTTATACCGAATATGTGCAGAAACTTATTGTGTGTACAATATACGTAGAATTTGGAATAATCACACATTGTTATATTGTTATGATTGAGAGATGCTGTCACTTAAAATACTTGTACAAAAATGAGCATAAAAGTAAAAAGAGTCGCGGTTAAAAGCAAGTAACTTATTATTATTTAATAAAGAAAATAACTTCACAACAATTACCTTCCCCTTCCCCAATCTCCCCAATTCCTGAATCCCCAACGATCCTCAAACTTCTAATCCCCAAAAGGCCGGTAACGCACTTGTAACACCTCTGGTGTTCCAGGTGTCCATGGGTGATGCCGATTGCTTACCATCGGTGTCCGTCTGCTCGTTTACCGGCTTATACCATAAAAATATAATTAAGGTATGAAGTAACGTTGTCGCGTCATTCCTTATTTCATCATTTAATAAAAGAAAATTGAAAAGAGGAATAATTTATCAAATCTGACAGCTAATTCTCGAGATTAGCTTGTTCAAACATAGTGACGAAGCTTGCTCTTCAGTTTTATTAAAGTCGTCAACTTCACTCCGCTTTGAAAGTATACGCAACTTTATTCCGTGTTAATAGGTGATATGATAGTTCATTGCAAATATACATCTCGCAATATGTTTACAATTAAAACTATTATTATTTTTCGACGATAATTTACATCAATAAACTTTATGCTTATTTTTGTGTCTGGTTCCACAACCATGGTATTGTTTCTTCATATCTATCCATATTCCAGTGATTTCATACCAATAACAGAATCTATCAATCCACAAATTAACAACGTGAAACCTGCGGAAACAATGGATATTTCGACTTAATTATTTTAATTGCGAAACTTCTACATTTGTTCCGAATGTTGTATTTTTAAAACAAGTCACAGTGACAATTTAATTAATTATAACTTTTTACAAAGTTTTTTGGGAAGTCCGTAAAAATTAAGATTTTTTATCTCGTTTTTTTATTTCTTTAATGATTTATTTTTATTTGAATACTTGACTTCTACGTTTGTCGAGTGTTACTACCGAAAGAAACATTTGCTCGATTTCTTGAAAAACCACAAAACATATTCCTAGAAACATGTTTATATAATAACTTTCGTGACTAAACTGAATATTATATTTTCGACTTAGTTACACACGTAACTGTTTGACGAGGAACTCGACTAGTTTCAAGTCATGCTAGAGGCTCATATTCATGAGCAGCATTCCGCGACACACAATGCAGCGACTGTCGCGCTGCTACCGGCTACTCGAATTTCAGTCGAGTTCCTCGTTAAACAGTTACGGAAGTAAGCCGAAAACAAAATAATTATCAAAATAAAGTAATCCAAAAAACATCTTTGTTTTTCTAGGAAATTAACCCACACAACATAAGATGTGATGAACAATAGAACAAAGGATTTAGTGGTGACTATTAATATACTTCCATAATAAATAATATATTCGTCAATTTAATAATAGAGAATACGTGGTTATAGAAGCGAGATTGACCCGGTCGGTAACTGGGTACAATAAGTCACCTCTGTCGCTCGATACGCCTACGGTTAGGGCGCCCACGCCTCCGATACGGTGTAGGGATATATTCAATGGAATTTGGATTATCTTGTGTTTTTTATTCAATGGAACTTATAACCATAATGATTTCATCTGTTGTATGAATCATTTGGGTATTTTAGTAGTTTAAACTGACTTTGCTATACACATGGTAAACATCAGAATTGAATACTAGCAAAAGCACAAACTTCTTAAAAAGATAGTTTCAAATACCTAGAAACCTCGAATTTATACGTATCAAAAACTAGAAGACCAGTTAAAATACTTTCACATACATACTTTTCCAAGAGATAAAACTGAAAAGAGAATGTAGGTAGTCATTACTTACCTTATTTTCACAATACATATTACAGACGAAACTTTAAAATAAGGTCGTACTTTTATATCAAAATCACAACCAACCTCATACTCATCCTACAAGTAGGCCGACCTATCGGTTAAACTCGGCACCAACTTCACGCTGAAAGGCTGGCAAGTCGAAACTCTTAATTCTAAGCTTTTAAAGAAACGCGAAGTTTGAGTCGCGCCCTCAGCCCTCACTCCTCTTGAGTGCTGCTCAATTGATCGATCAAGAGGCTTAATGGCAATGTTGAGGTATTTTTATTAAAATAAAGTGTTTGCCAATATACTGTGTAACCTTCAACGGCGATTGAAAATGCTGGGGTTGGGTTTTATGGTTAGGTGATAAGAGACGTCAAGTGTTTTGAATTGATTGGTGTTTTGATAATTATTTAGCGTTGGGTACAATTACACACTTTAATACATGCCAATGTATGATGTGGTTTTGATATTTTTGTGACATAACAATATGTTTTTTTTTTGTATTTTTGTGTTTTGGTATTGTAGTGTAATATTGAAGTTAATTAACGTGCCTGGTTGGAAAAGTTTACACGATTATTCATGAATCATAGCAATGATGACACATGAATAATCATGTAAACGAAGCTGCTAAATTAGTTTCAAACCATGGTCATAGCCCATGCTTATCATGATTATAAAATCGTAAGCTGTGATCTTCGCGTATTAAAACAAGTAGGTACTAAATAAACCACAAAATTCAACATAAATATTCTTTATATTTCTTTAAACTTGATACTAAATCAGCTAGATATACAAATTATAAAATTAATAATATCATTTTAAACAAAAATATACTTTTAAGTAATACTAATAAACTATATAATTTTCATATGATTGTTTATACTATACATACATTTTCACATCAACAAATACTTCTAATTAGAAGTCACTCTTAGCAGAAAATACATATTATATAATCTACTGATAAATATACACAGATATAAAAATAATGACAATACCTACATACATTTCTTCATACCCGTAGATTCATATTTTTGGTCTTCAATCCGCAGTAATCAGAAACAAGCTGTTCCACAAATTAGAAAAAGGGAATAAGCGCCGTAAATTCAGATATAATTTATAAACTACATTTACATTTCTGTTACAATCTCTTCTCCAATCAATGACCAGTCCAATCAATCTATAGTGACTCTACTAACTCTATACGAATCTCCAACCACTTCAGCAGTACTGTACCTTTGGAAGAAGTTGCCCTTGGTCTCCAGCCCAGTCTCCCCCGTCATACCAGTGATCGCAGTCACCACATCATTGGTCCTCCTCCCACTCTTGTGACCTAGGGTGATATTATACCTATTTATCTCTATACCTAAGTTTTTAGAACTAAAACTTCTGCCTAAAGACTTGGATCTTTTTACGGCAAATTTGTCCCTTGGCATCTTGATGTCGTATATAGGGTTGATAATGCCTGTGTATGGGGGTGATTTAGGGTTGATTTGAGTGATCGTCGGTTCCAGTTGAAGGCGGTTTGGTGGTTGATAGTCGGTGTAGCGGCTGGATACCTGGAAGGGAAGATGTTAGATTATGTTCATGGTTCTTAAAGATGCAAACAATTTATTTGCATTGACAAATTGAAGAGCTGAAGTCGTAAATGCAGTCGCAGAGTCCGGAGGCTTTTGAACAAAGGGTCTCGGGTTTTATTCCTATATACCAAATAATGATGATGGATGATGACAGGGTATGAAAATTAAAAATGTAATTAGTCCGTCAGTTAGGTAATGAAAAAATATTCGACACGTATTTTTTTATTTTGTCGTATAATAAAATGATACTTAGATTATAACGAATCAAAGTTTCGGAGTGGGGGCCAAAACGTCATTTCTACGTATAAAATGTACATAGAAGTGACGTCGCGCGACATTTCAAATCAATATATCTTCGAAACTATTAGTTTCCGTAAAAAAAATTAAAAATACGTGTCTAATGTTTTAAATAATCTACCACACGGGTATTAAAATAAAAATTAGTCATCTACCCTATTAACTTGGGGTTTTTTTAGTTTTATCTAAAGCCTGGAACAATGACAAGTTTTAAGTTAAAGTCTAGCTCCTATTTAGATAGGGCTTATAACGTCATTGCGTAAGTACGTGTGATAACTGTACTATGTGCACATATGTGTAATATACTATGTGTAATATGTGCACATAATCTTTTCCTACTCCCTCGCGAACTGTATTTTAATGATTTGATACCTGTCTCCCAATACTTGACGTCCTGGGTAGTGGAGGGGGTGGTGGTGGGGCTTCATCCCCGGACACATAGTCAGGAGGGCGAGGTCTGTACTTCTGGGGAGCTTCTGTTATTGAGCCTTCTGCTTCAGGGAGTCGCCAGGAGCTGAAGAATAAGATAAGAAATTACAATTGATGACTATTAACTCCTCGAGCGTCCTTATGAGCACCCGGTGGATCATAAGAAAAAATGTTCATGCTGCTTTCTCTTTTATAAAATCTATTATTAATGTTTTGTTTTTGACTATATTTTTTATTTCTATTGTAATGATCGTTGTTTTCGTATGCCAATGGCCAAATAAATGCATTTTCTTTCTTTCTTTCTTACTTTCTCCAAATGTCACGTGTGCACCCGTTGGATCATAAGGAACGCGGACGTTCGACGGGTTAAGGGACGATCAAATTCATCATATTTTACGGCTTATTTGCGTAAGTGTTTTAAACGTTTTAAAGTAGAATTCGAATCCGTGAATGAAAATAATTATTTTTCATCACCTAGCATCTGCCGTTATGAGGTCGATGCTTAGTACTTACCTAGAGGCTCTCTCACTACTTCTAGAGCGAGCAGCCCTCGCCAGTCGATGCAAGGCGAACAGCGCGCCCTCACTCGCGTCACCCAGATACGAACATAGCTCTTGTAAGATCTACAACATATTAATGATTGATATAGTTTGTGCTTTTAAGAGAACAAGGATTTTTTGATGATGATGAGGATCATAATAATTCTAATACAATATATTTTGTTATAGTTGTGGCCTGGAGGTACATAGTCGTGGTGGCCCGGAGGTTTAAGACGCCCACCTCTCATGCATGAGGGTGCCGGTTCGAAACCTACCAACGGCAAGTACCAATGTGACTTTTTCCGAGTTATGTACTTTCTAAGATTATCTAGACACCACTGACAAACGGTGAAGGAAAACATCGAGAGGAAACCTGGGCTTATAATTTCTAATTATAAGTTTGAAATCGCCAACCCGCATTAAGCAAGCATGGTGATTAATGCTCAAACCTCCTCCGTGTGAGAAGAGGCTTTGCTCAGCAGTGGGCAGTTATAGGCTGTTGATGATGAATATATTTTACGATATTCAATGTAATAAACTCACAGTAAACCTTCCCCGATGTAACAGTGCCACCACGAGGTCTCCAAGTGCTAGATGCAGTGCGTGGTGTCCACTGCGCGCTGATATCAAGTTGAGAGGAGCGCACTGTCCCACCAACCACTCATCTTCTAAAGACCACGCTGAGTCTTCCGCGTCTGATGCACCGGATTCCTCAACTATTTAAATTTAAATGATAATTAATATTACCTTAGATAAGACTACCGCTACTGATAACCGAAAAGGGTCTTTTGATTATTATAATTGAAAACAGTATCACAAACTTACCACACAACGCACTCTTCACGCTATTAATAAAATCCAACGTCTCTAGAATACTCGGTCTGCTCAGCGCTTCTTTGTTCTTCACAGTAGACCCAGCTGACCGTGGTCTTTGCCTGATCTCCCGTATACTCTCTACTGGCTCCGTATACACCAAACTTTTCAATGTGTGGTATTTTCGTCTCATGGTCTTCGTATCTGCATGGTCTGATAAGGATATTTCTGGAAACCCATATGATGTAGCTGGTCTATGTCTCCTGGACCGTCTTCTCACTCTGGGTAGACTATCCAACTGGTCTTTCGAGATATCCTGGATAGATGAGGATGGAATTATATCTGGTTTCGTGGTCCTCCAATAGTTTCCATTTTTAACGTTTGCGAGGATCTCATCGCTGCTCTCGTGGCGAGATATTGGTTTTTGTTTGTGTCTGGAATGTAAATAAAAACATTTTAATTGACAAAGGTAATAAAATTAGTATGAATACACTGATGTATTGAGCAAATGTGTTCGGCTTTACAATATACAATTGTATTTCGATATTAGATATTAGTTCAAGTTTTACTAACGTTTAATATCAATATTCTAGCAATTTTCATGCTACAAATATGAATTACAAGCAATATGGTAGTTATATTCGATATTCGCAAACTGTTATATTATTGCCGATTTCGAGAACAATGTACACAAAGCACCGCTAATTAGTTAGCGGCGCTACACATCGACACAACTATCATTTACACAATATACATGTGTGGGTAATTTCATATCAATAGATATGTATAGAAACATTCGTCTATCACACACATCTTGGTATTTAAAAATCATTTTTGTGTCGGTATACGCAATAATTTAGTAAATAAGTTTAAATAAAAACGAGGGTAAAGATAAAATTACTCATAACAAACTTTGAATAAATCGAAATCAAAAATAATGAACGATCGAGCTATACAATACCCATATAAATATAGTGCTTTCTCATTGTAATTTTATGTTACTGAATGATATAAAATATTTCGATGATCTCATCTACAGCGCGCTTGGCGCAATGGTTATCGCCTCCAATTGTCAAGTAAAGTGCCGCCGGATCGATTCCAACATTCACATGTTGTTTTAGAATTAATTTATCAAATATTTGAAATTTGAAATTAGAAACAATTAAATCTTTTCTTTTTTTTCCTTTCCTATTGTTCTAAATCTTATGTTAATTTTAATAGTAAATACTTTAGATTTATTTATACCTATAATATCTTTTATTTATATTTTAGTTCTAGTTATTTATTATTTAGAATAATCTCATTTGCTTCATGCATTTCAACCAACTTAAATAAGATAAAAACAGTAAAAAAGTAATTAACTGTGATTTCTTAATGGTTCGATACCTGAGTATATTTGCAATGTTTGTGGCGACCATAGAAATCTCGAGTCATTTTATTTTACACGCTTATGAAGTAACTACCGACTATTTAAAACATGTTTTTCAAATCACCCGACTTACAAAATAATTGCGTTCTTAGTTGTCAATTTATGAGGATTTCATAGTTTATTGCTACACTACTTATATTCGTGTGCAAAGTTATTTTTATTTTTACAAGATGTTCCAACACCTATCAACATTTAAAAAGGCTGAAACCATTGTTTTGCATGAGCAAAACATAACTAACAATAACTGAAATAGCAAGGCGTTTAATGATATCGGTGAGTAAATAAGATACTACGTTGATATTCTAAATAATATTTATTTCATTTTGTAACTCGACACACCTATCAATTTTTGCACTAGAATAAAATAATTATTGCAACTTATTATGAAGTTCAATATTATAAAGATATATTAATAATTTATTATTAATTGTATTGTAACTTGACTTGTTTTTGTTAGGAGTGTTTCTTTAAAACATATCTGGTTAGGGATTTTTATTCCTTACGCCACTACTTAATTATAAATTATTATTCTAACATTGTGTTTACTTATATTTATTATTATTTTTAAATAACTTTAATTCCTGTAAAGTATTTCCTGGTATTTTAAATACTTATTTGTTTGGTATCAACAGAGGAGATCCATGCAGTTATGGGTGCACAGATATGCGGAGACCGGTGACGTTAAACATCGTCGACGTGGGCCTAAACCAAAGGCAAATTCATCGGCTCGGCACTACGACATCGTAGCCAGGCACATGGCTGATCCGTTCCTGCCAACCCGCACTACAGCGACAGCACTGAATGTTTTAATACAAACTGTACGGAGACACCTGCATTCTGGTTTAAGGTGCAGGAAGCCAGAGAAGAAAATATTGTTATCTGTGGTTCACCAGCAAAAGCGCTAAGAATTTGCTCAGGACTTTATTAATTTTGATTGGGCGAACAGTGTAATCATATTGAGCGACGAAAAGACTTTCAAGTCGGATAAGGATGGGCGTAAAATATTGTGAAGAAAAGATGGAGAAAGGTATACGAATTGCAACCTTCTGCCTTGTAGGATCAGTGATTGTATTGATTCGGAATCAATTATTGAGCCTGTCAAACTCTGCCTTTATTAAAATTAACATAAAATAATGTTTAATTTTTTTAAGAATATTAAAATGCTGTCTAGAACATACGGTGAAGTGATGTTATTGTTTTGTGGTTAGAAATTGTCATAATTTCTTTCTATTCAACATGTTTATTCACTTCACTTTAATTTTTCATTAACAAATTTATTTAACTGCTTTCGAACTTGATTGACATATTATATTTACGCCCATCTTCAATTAATTTAAAGTTTCCCTGATTCTAAAGGTCATGAAAGTTAAAATCGTTCCATAGCATTCGTCACATTCTTTTTACTATCATACAGCCCACTGAATATTGAACCTTATAACAACCGTCGTAAAATAGATAATTAATGGAAGTTCAAACGACAAAAAGTCGCCCATTTCAAGAAATATTATGTTGACAGTGTAATTTTTTACATGTTTTACTTGTTTATTACTGTAAAACTGTAATTTAATAATACATTATATTATTAAATTACAAAACAAGAATGTTGTATATTTGTTTATTACCTACTTAATAAAAAATGTTGCTGCCATCGTATTACCGCTGTACCGCATGATATTTCCCGATTCGACTATGAGGTTTATTGTCATATCTATTAATTATGATTTAAAGAACTTTAAACTTAACATGTGGTATATAATTAATTATTAGATATAAATATTGAATATAAAACAACATATTTGTATAATAAATAAATTAATTGTAATAAAAAATAGTATTGTTTTATTTACCAACTCATTTGCTTCTTTTATAGCCTGATATTTATATTTTATGACAAAAAACAAAAAAAAAATAAGAAAAATAACAAGGTAAAATAAAGTTAACTTTTAGCTGGAATAGAACCCACATCATTGATCCTTGAAAGACGATAAAAGCGTGCTCATTAACCAATCGACCACGAGCACTACGATAATGACAGTGAAAATGTCGGGTCATATCAATGATTGTAAATAGTTTTAACCTTACCTATGCATTAAATTATAAAAATACGTATACCGACACAAGAATGAAAATACCAATGTGAACGTGGTGGACGAATATTTTTATATACAGTTATATGAAATTACGCACACATGTACACTGTGTAAATGACAGTTGTGTCGATGTGTAGCGCTGCAACTAATTAGCGGTGCTTTGTGTACCACGACAGTACACACCGAGCTATGCCAAATTAATATAAACTGACCTTCGAATATGCGAAAGAATCATAGAAAGCGAGGTCTTGATAAACTGGATTTGTATAACTTGATGTGTATGTAAATACCCAATACTTCTCATAGTTCAATAGCCTCGCTTTAATAATTGGGGATTGAACGAATGAATGAATGAGCTTATCTGAATGATTGACTGCGTCATTCAATACAAGAAGTTATAGCCGTATCACGTTCAATGAACTGTATTGAAAATCTTAGAATGTGAATATAATTTCCTGACTTGTGCAATAAGATTTCAGAAATTGCAAAAGACTATTTTCTTGAACATTTTTAGGTTGTTGACACAAGCAAGTCATGACGTTTCTGTATGTATATGGTGGGTGCACTAGCTAGTAGCTACGTCCCGTCTGTAATACATATAGCATTAGCCATTATATAAGAACAACTGGATACTATAACATTAATAAACATTTCCCATCAATGAGATTGTTTGACACAGAAAAACTCGTAAATCTTTCCATCTATATTAAAAAAAACAAGTAAAAAACATATTAAGCAATATAGGTAAGAATTAATAAACATCTGAAGTAATAACAACCACGTTTAAACACCCAATACATTAAAAAATACTTCATCAGAGGCCATCAAACCCGTATTATTGAGCTGTGGCAAATAATTCACGGCACAGACAGGCCGCCATATTGCAAATCACGGTAGCAGATAACGAGCGCTCCCTTATCAAACCGGAGACAAATCGTTTGCTACCCCACATTATGTGTTACGTGTGGATATCTGACACTTCCATCTAGGTTTTTGATAATGACATACCTATGGTTTAACACCTATTTTATATACTAAAAGATAGACTGAACATTTAAAAACGCCACGATGTATGTCAGACAGTTAGACCAGCGGTCATACCTTTGGTTTATAGTCAGTGTCAAGATAGGTCGTTTGGGGAATGTATAGGGAAGGTATTTTCCAAGTAGAAAAAGAAATCATACATTCAAAGAGAACAGAATATATATAAACTTTGAATGACATTACAAAATCGTATAATGTAATACAAATAACGATTTAAAGTAAAAGATTACAAGCTACACCATGCTATAGCAACACAAACAATAACAACAATAGTGTCTTCCTTCACCCCTTCTTATTGCATGATAAATGACTTGCACCCTTCTCTTAGCAACTACTAACACAATAATGATGAGACTTGTCCGGTAGTCTGCAACCAGCCTATCAACTGTTTAATCGTTTTGCTTACAAAGCCTAAACAATGGATTTTGATTTAACATTATGAATTGATGTTCAGTTTGTTGTTTGGTCTAATAATGCCACTAAATACTGTTTAATAATTCTGTTTAAATTGTCATAAAGTATCGCTCTAGGCGTTTCGAGAACAGTAAGGCAATTACGTCCAGATGGCATGACTTGATAGTAATGGACATTGGTTTACAGAAAGACAATAATAGAAAGCTCGGTAAATGGATATAATATACACGTTTTACTACAACTTCGAAAAATTTTAGTTTTGTTATATTTAAGTATTCCATGCAATATCTTTTTAAATTATATTTGAAAATACACAACCTGTTTTCGGTCCTATCATTATCATCATCATCATCATCAAAAGCCTATGTCTGGCCTGTGGCCTAGTGGCCAGTACTGACAAAAAGCCTCTTCTCACTCAGAGAAGGTTTAAGCATTCATCACCACGCCTGCATGGAGCGCGTTTCGAACCCCTCATACATGAGAAACAGTCGTCTTAAGCCTCCGGAACACCACGACATTTCTGTACTTTAATAGTATTAAAAAATGTTGGTATCTATCAGTTTTAATACTGATTTTGACGTAAAACAGTCTAATTTTATAAGTAGCGCCCTTACAGCAATAAGCTTGCTTTCGCCTCTTTTAAACATTCCGCTAAATATGTAGACATTTCTAAATGTAAGTATTTCACTCCATTTCCCCCAACAACAGATATAAACGAACCTTACAAAATACGTTATTATATTTCTAACAACCCGGGGAAAGTCGCAGGGTATCGCTAGTAACCATTAAAGTTTGCTGAAGCACAACTTTTAACGATGGTTGGTTAAAATCGGCCGGCGTAACTGCGAACAGCGATCTCAGTTATTGGAAGGCGACGCCCAGCGTCCATTTTATTTCATTACAAATTGAATTAGCAGTTTCAAACTATCGCAGCCATTATTAGTTACGATGTTATTATACTGAATCAGTTTTTGTGATACGATATTAGAGGGGTTTTGAGTTAGTGAAGTTGTTATGATTGTCGATTGTCGAATCAAGAAATATTTTTTTGTGTTTTTTGACTATGTTCAATATACATAGTAATTACGTCGAATCTGAAAGTATATCTATAGCATTCAATAGCAATCGGCTTGATTATGATGTATCTAATTAACATAACAAAAGAAACAACAATTTTATATTGCAATATTCGAACGGTTTTCTGTAATTAAGTATGAATTTCCAATGAAATATTTTACTCCGTATGCCAGTTAACATTAATATAATATGATAAAATATGAACGAATGTTTGAATAGTTTTCATTTATCAAGGCATTAACAATACAGTATTTTGCTCTGTACCCATTATATCTCGTGAACCGGTAATAATTCGGTATGTGGCTCATATCTACGTATTACGAATGACAAATAACAGTGAGCTCTACTCGATATTTGGAGACTACAAAAGAGTAATATGTATCTCAATGTCACAGTAAAATTACGTGATTTTACCAGGTCTACCAGGTTTGATAAAACATAATATTATTACGTGATTCTTTTTTATGACAGGGCCAATGTGGGAAACCTTCAAAAAGGTTAAGTGCCTTTACTTTAGGGGAGGAAAACTAAAGAGTATAGGATTTTTCCTCACTAAAACCACCCCACACCATTCACGGCCCATGGTCTAGGCAATAATGCCTCTAATGTCTCATGGCTTTCTTACGAGGTACCGTCCACGACACTGGTCGAGACTGGTCTGGACACAAGTATTGCCACAATTGACATTAACAGTACCATCAGATATTTTTACGCTGTAATACTCAAACGCTACTAAATTTTAAGTGGCGCTTAAACATAGTTCTATCACTTCAAATTAATTGTAAAATAACAGAGGTGGCACGATCCTTTCAGTATTAGGACGTTTGTCATTTATATGGCACAATTAAACAATTCCGGGGCACATTGCTAGTATAATCCATAACACACATTAATGCTAAATACTTTCCATGATTACATAAACGTGGAATGTGGCCGTCATTGACAATAGCCTCCGGGCCACTGTTGAAAATGTTTATTGTGTACAACAAGTTAAAAATAACACATTCATTATATGCTTTTATTGGTGATAGGGTGGATAAATGTATTTGATTTTAAAATGTCTTTTTAGTTTTTTTTTTACACTCACGAGTTTTTTTAGGGTAAATTATCACGTCTGCCTATGCATTGCATCGCATTGTTTCTCGCCGTACTCATCAATACCGTAGTATACTAACAAGACTTAGTATTCGTTTAATAAAACAATAATCTTAATTAAATAAAATCCCCCACAACCCAAAACTACAATAAACAACCAAACCTATTAACGTTAGACACTACAATTTGAACCTTAAAAACAATTTAATGAATGAATGTCAGAGAACATCCATGAAAGTTTATTGGGGGCGATGTGGTAACACCTGGCGGTCTGCCAAGGACAGGTACCGACATGTCGATAGACTACCGGTTCCAACTTGCCCGGTAACTGGGTGATATTGATGACATCCAGTTTCTACTAAGATAGTTACTTATTAGATTAACGTGGGTTGTTTCAATGAAGATTCTCATCATGGGATTTATTAGCATAGTAAAGTGAGATGCGCAATTCAATATTTTAATTGATTTACCTGCTATATTAAGAGGTTCATGTTCGTCTATGCTGAACTTATTAGCTACAATAGCTGTCGTTGATAGATAGATATTCCTGGAAATCCCTACGTCAATGGTTAAACTATCAATAGGAATTTTGACTATCCAGATTGACGTATACCTACCATATAATTAAATGCTGTGCAAAGAATGGTCGCATTAGCATCATTATTTTTATAAAAAAAGTTTGCCCAACTCACCGCCTATCCCCCACAAGTGCAGTAGCGAAGGCGCCCAGTACACATCGCTTGGCGAGTCTTAGTTTAGCCTCGGCCTTATCACGCCTGCTCAGTGTGAGAGTGCGGGCAGAACTGTGCTCTCTTCTCGATGGCAACTTGATGGGGTAAGATATTGCCATGCCTTCGCCAGTTGGGAATACAAGGCGGAAATCTGGAAGAAAAATGGATATAATATTTGTTATCAAATTTTGTGTCATTATGTTTTAGATAATCTACATTGTTCATTAAAAAAAGCCTCTTTTTACATAGAGAACACTCCAATAAACTTCTATTGTAGTGAGCAATGAACATAACAATCCTAATGTTACAAAGTTCACTTGAATAAACTACTATCACAATTCTTCTATTTGTCGTACCAAATTAGCATGGAAGAACAACATCATTACATTATTCAATGTAGAAACGAAACAACAAAATGCTACAACAGAATATAATTAACATAACATAACATCACGCCTTTTTATCCCCGAAGGGATAGGCAGAGGTGCACATTGCGGCACTTAGTGCCACTGTGCACCTCTGGCGACCCTGCCAGGATTCCACATTGCATAACATCCACTTTTCCCTATTTTGTTATGAGTCCCATGTAATAGGGGGTGAGCCTATTGCCATATACCGGGCACAATTACAGACTCCTTGCTAACTCTGAGATTTTTTTTAAATACCGAATAATACTATGCCCGACCCTGGAATCGAACCCGAAACCCCTTGCTCGGCAGTCGCACTTGCGACCACTCGGCCAATAAGACAGAAATACGTATATAATCAGTCAATCAGAAATCAGTTCTGCCTTCAACTCTGTGGATTTTGACATACTGTTGGGGGTCCTAAAGGCCAATAATTTTTCTGTTTCTTCTCTAGCTTGGTTTGAATCTTATCTTCGGGGTCGCCGTCAGCGGGTCCGCTTAGAGGAAACCTTATCCGATTGGTGCGACCTTGCGGCTGGTGTTCCCCAGGGTGGCGTCCTTTCTCCTCTGCTTTTCTCCATCTTTATAAATACCGTTGCCAGGGTCATTTCTTCTAATTTTCATCTCTATGCGGACGATTTGCAGCTGTACCGTCACTTCGGCATGTCTGAAGCTCATTCTGCTATCGATGCCATGAATCGTGACTTGGATGGTGTTGCTGAGTGGGCCAGATCTTTTGGCTTGCAAATCAACCCTCTGAAGTCTCAGGCCATGATCATCGGTAGTAGATATTATCGTAACAATCTCGACGTCTCTGGCCTCGGTCCATTGCGTTTGAATGGTACAGCGATTCCATTTACCGATCGCGCTAAAAACTTAGGTGTACTCATTGACTCGAATTTATCGTGGAATGCTCAGGTAAATGAAGTCAGTCGAAGGGTACATTACTCCATCCATTCACTGAGGCGCCTCCAGACCCTGCTGCCTGTGAAAACAAAGATTTACCTCGTCCAAGCGCTGATCATGCCTCTGTTGGACTATGCAGATGCTTGCTACCTAGATGCCACTGAGGAGCTATTAAATAAACTTGAGCGATTGCAAAATCAATGTATCCGCTTTGTATTCGGTCTTAAGAAATATGATCATGTCTCCGAATTTCGCAATAGGCTCAAGTGGCTCCCTATCCGTCTTCGCAGGAACACTCGCATTTTATGCCTCCTCTATAATACCCTCTTCAATCCAACTTATCCTGCGTACCTCCGTGACCGTTTCTCCTTGGTCCGTCCTCCTGAAGTCCTTACCCGTTCTCATCTTAAGTCCAATCTTAAAATTGTGCCTCATAATACCGACTTCTTCTCCTATTCCTTCACCGTTTATGCTGTGAGACTGTGGAATTCTCTGCCGCCTAACATTCGAGACGCGAAATCTATCGCTCTCTTTAAAAAACTAATTAAGGACCATTACCTTTCTACATGAGTACTGATACTTTTTTTTTTTTTTTATTTCTATGTGTGTATTTTATTTATCGTTATTATTATATATTAAGTATTTATATTTATACTATATTTATTTATACTGCCTATATTTATTTAGTTATTATTTAGCTTTAGTCTTTTTTAAACATATTTCTTATATTTCTGTTACACACTGTGTCTTTTGTTTTAATTAGATTTCCTGTCTCAGGTCTACTGGAAGAAATTCCAACAGGAATAAGTAGCACCTTTGTACTCTTATTTTATATATGTGTTATCCTCTGTGCTGTCTGTGTGTACATAAATTATTAAATAAATAAATAAATAAATAATTATAACTAATATAATAAACTATAAACAGAGCTATAATTCAAAACTAACACAAAATTAAATGACAAATTATTTCAGTTGGCACCAAAGTGCTGAAATCCGACACAGTTATTACAGACGAATTACATAACGCTACCTTTGTGAACACGATGGAACTAGTGTAACTATTCACTGCTATAGTCACACCATACAGGCTCATTGTAGATCTTTGTTTAACTGCTGTATAGGAAGTCTTAACGACTTGTCGAGTTACACTGACGTGTAATTACTTGGTGTATGAATAGAGAAACTGAATTGTGGGTAAAGTGATAACAAATATGGTAATGAACGTGGGAGATTTGATTTTGTTAAACTAAGGAGTACATTTCTTTTTTATTAGTATTACTTAGCCGCTTGGCCATTATCTCGCCTGATGGTAAGCGACGATGTATACATATATATGATACATATATATAAGCGACGATGTATACGTCATATGTATATATATATATGACGATGATAACGACGACGACGTTGCACGTCTGACCATAAACAAACTATTCACTCAAGACTTGAAGACACCCAGGTTGTACCCTTCAAGAAACACAGACTCTGGCAAAGAAAGAATGTACTGATATAACCTTATTATTCGCGAACTGTTGAAAAATTTAACAATTGTGATTAAACAAGTATTATTATGATGTCTTTTTTTATAAGCGAACTTTTTGATGTGTAATATCGTGTTCTTTTTTAATGCATGTCATGGCAGCCTTTAATTAAGGCTACACTATACAGTGTTAAAATACGTTAAAAACCTATCGTGTATTTTGGTGTATGCATTGTTGGTTGCCCTTAAACTGTCAAACACCAAGCGGTCACCGGTGACCGCGACCTATTGTTCTTTAATTGTGTCTATAAAACCGGTACTCGACGAGTTAAATAAATAAATATAATAAATAAATAAACTGTCAAAAATCTTAACAGATTTTGAATTTTATTGCAAACAAAAAGATTGAAGGCCTTTAAACAACCATCCATGGTAGCATCCATTTTAATAATTACGTGCTAGCAAGAACACACAAAATAGAGCCAGTATTTACATGCATTTATTTTCAGCTATTCGTATGCATTCGTTATTCTTCACTTTGCATGTTTATTCCGGAAAAATATGTAATTTATACCTCTATATTTCCTTTCAAATTAGCACGAATCTAACGTACACAAAGACTTTTATTTTATGTAGAGTCTATTTTAACTGGGGTATTATTTTCTTCACTATTATAAAAGAGAAACAACGAGTCTGTACTCGGTATTGATCGCGATGCTGCACTTGATTTATGCCAGGCTCCTAGCATGCTGGTGTGATATATTGCTATTTTCATCGTGCAATAAGGATTAGTTTTAAAAGGATATTTTAGCCAATTATGTGTTTAATGTGGAAAAGGTTTGTTTAATAGTTTAGTGGTTCGTTTAGTTTTTATTAGTGGTTGGTTAAGAAGATCTGAAGATCGAGTTCTGTGGAGAAGCTTAGGTCTAGGTGTGGAGGTAAACACGCTGATGACGATCGCAACGAGGTGGAGGCAGACCAGGATTTATCGATGTATCATAACATCCGTACTTGTGGAAGTGGAACCTTCAAGTTGTGGCAATATTTTGATTAGAATTATGAAGGGAACTGCCTCCAACAAAGGTATTAGCGATAACAGAGATTGGGAACAACTCCTGGAAACAGATTCCACGCCGTTTCCACAACTTAGGCGGGATTTGCAACTCGCCACAGTTTCAAACTTCACAATGATATAGGTCGCTGGAAGTGTGTATTACACAACATTTGTATTTGTCGACTTGTGTGCAAAACATAGCTTACAAACTAATTAATTAATTTAACAAAGAAAGACCTTGAATGAATTTTAGATACTAATTCATGATTATGTTTTTCGGCTTACTTTCATAATTAAACGGCGACTGTCGCACTGCTACTGACAGCACTACTCGTCGCGGGTCGCGGAATACTGCTCATGAATGTGAGCCTGTAGCATGACTTGAAACTAGTCGAGTTTCTCGTCAAAGAGCGTCAAATCGTGAGTCAGCCGAAAAACATAATAATTAATTTAGTATGTCTTATGAAAGTTATAACATAAAGATATTAATTCGACTATGATTTGGTTATTACTTTTGATTTTTTAGAGACAAAGTATGCGCGCAACATAAACATATTTTTATGTCATGCTAAAAACTGAAAACAAAACATGACATATTCAATGGTAAAAACTCGAAACAAAACATTGCATAACCTTACTAGTTACACAACTCCCACTTCCAACACAGCTTTCCCACAAAAGCCCAATTTAGTTCTAGCCACATCTAGTTTATCTAAATCCATTGAAAACCGCCCACAACCAGCATTAACTCCCGCCCAATATAAACTGACCTCTCTCCTCCCATTACCAGTAGAGGTACAAATATCAAAGAACGGTGGTCATATTAAAAATGCTAACGTATTTTTTTTTTTTTTTTTTTTTTTTTTAAGGGGGGAAAATCATCGAATGACTGCTCCCGCCTGGGTGAGGCGGAAGGGAGTGTCAGACTCTTACTGACTAAAAACCACCCCGTTCCTTCTCCTGCACGTCGAGCCGGAGCCCCGGTTACCCGTTAGGTTCTCCGCGACTCCGAATCGGCATCGGCCCTATTGGGCCCCATCTGTGGTGGTCTGATGGCTCTTTGAGGCGCGCGCGGAACGCGACGCGCCGTACGCTCGGGTCTGTTTCTGGTCGGACGGGGAGCCACCCATGCTCGCCGTCCGCAGGCCCGCGCTTACGGTGGCCGGAGATCGTCCCGCGATCCCCGACGCCCGGTGTGTCCTTCGCGATGGCTGGGTCGCGAGGAGGCAGCGCTTCGCTGCCTCACGCGTCCCGCCTCCTCCTTAGCTAGCATGACTGCTTCGCAAAAGGAGGAGACGGCATCCCAGTCCCCCTCGCTCCGCATCATGGCCTGCACTAGGCCCGGACGCGAGAGGTCGCCATCGCCGATCACTTCCCTGAGGGCACGGCGGTGCTCAGCCCACGCAGGGCATTCCGCTACGGTGTGTTCCACCGTGTCCTCAGGGCGGTCCTCGCAGTGATGACACCCGGGCGTTTCCTCCCGCCCCATCAGACACAGGTACCTCCCGAAACTTCCATGTCCGGTGAGGACCTGCGTCAGGCGGTAGGTGAGGACGCCGTAGCGTCTCTCAAGCCACTCCTCAAAGAGGGGACTTACCGCTGCAATGGCAGCGAGACGGTTGCAAGCGAAACGATCTTGAAATTTTGATCCAGTGGATTGTAATATAAAATAGTGGCTGTTGTTATTGCTGTGTACGTTTTAAATGGAATTATTTAGTATTTTGAGTTCAGTTTAAATACGCACCGTTCAGTTAATATTATGTCGAGTTTTCTAGTTGAGCACTGAATGTATTTACCTTGGAAGGTTTACTGGACTTGGTTTTTAATTTAGCTTTAAGCAAAGCGAGTGATCAAATCTTTACAATCGTTTTCAAATTTCAACTTATTCATGTTCATTAACTACTTCGCAAACTTAATCACCAACTCATTCAGTACACGATTCAAAGAGGTCAAGAGTGCAACGCAAAAATACCAAAAATATCTGGTTTTTTATCCAGAATCTATGTGTATGTTTTTGTTAGTTTGTAAGACATTAATATTTGGGACTGAAAATGAAATTCAGAAAATATAGCTATAACTCTACTGATCAGCTATAATAACAAACACAACAAAATACAATAAAACAACACGCGTACAATTCATGCCATTCGTGGTTAATACAACACAGCGGTGGTAGTACTATTATCCCTTGAATTTAGGCAAATGTGAGCGCCTGCAGTAAATTCACCGCAACAGTTTAGAGCGGGCTTAAACCCAAGAGCTTTTTAAATTAACAATCAAACTGACGGTGATGTTTATATACATGTATCCAGGAGGGCGATGACCTGTAGCTGTGATCATAGTGTTTAGGGTTACATCAATTATTTATTTGGAATGCCTAGGGGTCATCGTATTTTGGTATAAAACTACGTTTTTTGATAATTTTGGGAGAGTGTATTCTGTGTTCAGTTGACTGTTTAGTAATGATGACAATTCTAAACATGTCTTTCTTGATCATGACGCGACGTACAAAAAATAGAAAATTTAGAAAGTTAAAAATTGTGTATTGTGTATGTTTATTTGTGTATACAGGATCAAAGATCAAACTGCATACTTATGTGAGTACTAAATAATTACAATTAAGGAATTTGAGCATTGAACTTCATATCATAGAATGACTAAACATCACAAGACCAAAAATACTATTACACACACATGATGAAAAGCAAATCGAATGAAATCTTATACTATTATATAAAGCGGAAGAGTTTATTTTTTTTGTTTGAACGCGCTAATCTCCGTAACTACAAGTCTGATTTGAATAATTCTTTTTGTGTTGGATAGCGCATTTATCAAGGCTATAGGCTATAAAACCTCACGCTACGACCAATAAGAGCTGAGCAAAGCGTGTGAAACCGCGCGCAAGTAGCTAATGAAATATAAACTTACCGATATGACGAAATCTGTCCACAAAGTCCACCATAGCTTTAGCCCACGCAAACTTCTTGGCAGCATCCAGCAACCCCATGCACGGTTCCAAAGACCCATCATGGACACCCATACAATACTCTTTGAGACCTTCAAACTCCTGCACACATTTCTTTCCATCAAACTCTTCTAAAAACCATGAATTTTCTATAGAAGTGGTGAAAAGACCATCCAAATACGGTCTTAGAACTGGTCCTAGGTATTTCTTGTCATCTTTAGCTCCCTTATAAAGCCAGTTTAGAATGTTCTTCATGATTACTATATGGTCTTTTAGGTCTTCTCGCCGTAATTCAGGGTCTCTCCGCACAGCGTCTATTAGACAGGCTGATGATGCGTCGTAGTAGTCTTTTAGCTTGTTCCATTTCTTTGACCTATTGAGAAATTGAAATTCGGTAAATCAATTTGCGACCTGCATCTTCTACATTTTCAACATTAACGATACAAAATGGTTGTTCCAATGAGATGAAAAAAACTATACTATAAAAGTACCCCAGGGTAATTTTTCAGTAATCAGTATGTATAAATTCTAATTGTTAAAGCTACGTTACTCACCTATAAGCAGAGAAGTCCCTATCAAACTCCCCAACACTCTTGGAGTGGAAATTGTTTAGGTAGAGGTCTCGAGCCTGGTCCAGCATGATGGCCAGCACATGGATCAGGTCTTCGATGGGCTCCTGGTTCAATGACGTCACCTGGATGAGGTTCGCTTTGAACGTGCTGTGGCTTTCCTGCGAAATTATGCTGAATAAGCGATTTTCGATTTTTGTCAATGAATAAATCTCTTGTCTCCAAGTAAACGAATCGAACAAATATTATAGGAGTGTTCGATTTTTATATAATTAAAAGCCATCGTGACAATGGATACGATTACTGTCTATTACCTTCAATGATATTTTTGACATATACTCACACAAGCCACCATACTCTTACACTTGAGCAGTTCACTGGCCACCCTCCACAAGTACCGCAGTTGTCGCTTGGAGTAAGTTGGGATGGACCCGGCAGAAGCCCTGGCTTCTCTATTCAGGCTCTCCCACCGACTCAGGAGTGCTGTCTCCAGGCAGTCTGATGGTGATGGTGGAATGTCTTCACCTGGTAAATATAGTTAACAAAAAAAACGTAGTATATCAGCGCAAATTGGTAACGCAATATATTAAGATACCATTTTAGAAAACAGCGGTTTCATTTTCTCAGTATAATTAACTTCACGAAAGGCACAGATGTAATAATAGTCCTTTAGTTTAAGATGAAGGGCCAAAAGATTTTTACTTTTATTTTAGTGGTCTTTTTTCAAAAATGTTTTTTTAAGACACCTGGTGATTCAAAAGAGAGATATTGAGAGCTTTAAAAAAATCAAGTTACTTGGGTTCAACTTATGATTGTTGGAAACTGTAGGTACCTAAGTATTCACTTCCAAGAGCCGCGAAAGTTCTCGGCTCCGATAAAACAACTTTGTTATTTTTCACTTAGGTATTGAGGCTGTTGTATCAAATCAAAGTCTACTTCCACAAAGTTTTTTTTTCTTTTGTTAAACTAAGATCATGCTAAAGTGTTTTGGTGAACAGACCTTTGTATATTTCTCAATAATGATTGTTTAGTGAGACCATGAAGCAGGATTCTGTGGTGCAAGTAACACGGACTTCATGACTATGGGTCCCGGTGTAGCTTGAAATTAGACGAGCACGCTTCCACACGAAGCTATAAATAATATTTATTTTTTCTACATTTTATGACCCCCACCTGCAACATGATGTAGTTGTTGCAGACAGCTCTTGACACAGGCGGCATCGAACTGCCAGTCAGCGTCCCTCGCCCCGCGCCGCACTACTGATCCACGCTCCACTGGGTACACGTATCCTGCTATACCTCCACGCTCACATAGGGAGTATAATCTGGAGGTTGAAAGAAGAATTGGTGAAGACGACAATAGTGAAAAAAATAAAATGGTTTTTTTTTAAGGGGAGGAAATCATCGAATGCCTTCTCCCGCCTGAGTGAGGCGGGAGGGAGTGTCAGACTCTTACTGACGAAAAACTACCCCGTTCATACTCCTGCACTTCGAGCCGGAGCCTCGGTAACCCGTTAAGTTTTCCGCGGCTCCGTATCGGCATCAGTCCTACTGAGCCCCATCTGTAGTGGTCTGGTGGCTCTTTGAGGCCACCAGACCACCACATTCGCGCGGAACGCTCAGCGCCATACGCTCGGGCCTGGTTCCAGCGAGCTACCCATGCCCGCCGTCCGCAGGCCCATGCTTACGGTGGCCGGAGATCGTATAAAATGGAGATAGTGCTAGATCTCTCCGGCGACGATTAGTTTGTCGTGTTATGTCGGTTATGTTCAATCCAAGAATACAGGGACCGTAATAATTCCCTCCATTATTGTGTGTTTTGGGAGGTACTAGTCACAATGTGTTATTTGGGTATGCAGCAGCTCTTTCTTAAAGTTGGACCATTTAAATTGCGATCTCGAATCTGTTACAAATACACAATCTCTTACAAAATTCATAGAAAACTGTCGTATTTGAGAGTTTTAAAAAAGTATTGAATTTGACTAGTTGACAAGTACCCAATTGTATTGTGAACCCTTGATAAAGAGTAACCTTGGAATAAGCAAAGAGCTTCACTTTTAATTTTTTTTTTGTCGTTTAAAACTGCCTTTCTGGTCTAATTGAAATAAATGATTTAGATTTTTTTTTGTAGATGAGACTGCACTCACTCGTCCAGCAGCAGCAGTAGATGGTGCGCGGCATGCAGCGCGGCCACGCAGCGCGCCGCGCCCGCCGCCGCCGCGCCGCAGCGGCCTGCGCGACGGCGGAACGCGCACGACGCCACGTACCGACTCAGTACGCGGAGACTGCCCTGTCGTACGAAACATAATAATTATGAAAATAGCCAAAAACAGTCATGTTATGATCACGCCAACCTCGTTAGGGATCCTCAGGGTAACCGTCAATTCATTTGTCACCAGTTTTGTTATGAGTCTGTTATCGCAGACTGAGCTCAATTCAAGATCTTTTTCCACCCGGAAAATCAAAGGATTATGTTTGCCAAGAAAATCCTACCAAGGTGAAATCACAGGATCTAGGTTTTAACCCAACTTATAGCATTAAGTTGTAAGGATATTTCCTATACCTCTTAATTAACAAATTACCTGGTAAGCTCCCTCCCTCATCTTATCAATCAGCACGTTGAGTGCTCCAGCGATCCTGGCGACAGTGGACAGCTGGGAGCAGTGCGCGTCCAGCTCGGCCTCCAGCGAGGGGTGCCACAGCTGCCACGTGGAGGAACGGTCTCCGCATACTAGGGACGATGGAGGACCTACTGCCGCGGCGTAGTAACCCTGGGGTAGGAAATAAGATGGAATGAGTTCCTTGCATATCCATTAAACTTTTTATTAGGATAGGGGGGAAGAACGTACAGACGCTTTACTTGATGGTAAGCAATCGGCCTGTTGACACCAACAACACCAGAAAACTAAAAGTGCGTACATTTTCCGTTGCCAATTAAATTTTTCACTCAATAACTTAATGACAGACAGAACATCATTTTCATAATAGTGTACTAGAAAATTTCGTACCTACATACTCTAATATAATGTGTCGTAATATTGTGACCACCAAGACTATTGCGTGCTATTGCTATCAGCGAATGATAATGACTTGCTCATAAGAATGAGCTCATAGGGAAGACCCTATAATACTTCTAAAAAGATTTCTGAACAGCAACTAAAAGTGGGTATTGATAAAAAACAGTTCCTTCGCTAAACTTACCCCTTGAGCACTAGTATAATGCAGCAACGCCATGGGATGTATCAATGGCACCCTGTTAGTATATGCCGCAGCGTTGCACCCCTGCACCCTGGCTCCTAACATCAGCTTGGCTTCTGCCTCACCAGCTCCAACGCGCACCATCACCCATGCAGCTCCCTCCACTATAGCGAGACGACGGTCGTTGTTTGATAGTAGAGTTGATCCTGGGAGAACATAATAAAATTAATTGATATTATTTGCTATCGACTCGTATGTCCTCTTAGAACATCAACGTGTTTTTTGTTCTAGAATCCTTTTGAATTTTTCTTCTGATTTATTTCGTTGCGGGAACCAAGACAGTTATTCAGACGCAGCGGACTTCAGTGTTGCGGTATTTTCATTGTTGTATCAACTGTAGATCCTGGCTTTCAGGAGTTGCAGCGGTTTTGGGAAGTGTGTGATGGGCTTGTCCCTAAGAAAACCTTTTAAATTTCAATTGTTATCTAGTACTGCGTACAAATGAGATGGTAGAAACCATTTTTGGTAGCAAACAGGTACGTACATATAACGCGTTTAGTACTTGCATATGACAAGCTGTGCCTGCGTATTTTGACAGTTTTAAGGCTTAAATTCTAATCAAGACCTTTAGTTACAAAAGTGATCATGATTGTTATAAGTAGTTGATCATCCAGGTAGTTCTGAGACGTCAAACTAGAATTGTCGTCAGGCGATTCGAAAATAATACTAGGTTCTTTAAACATAATATACTTTTCTTCTTTAAAAAAGTTATACTTAGTTACCGAATACTATTTGAAAATAAATTAAACAACTGCAAATACTTTATAACAAGCTGATTATGTCTGGTCACTGAATAAGTTGTCCATCTCCTGGGAAATCACAGCCACGGTACAGTGTGTATGAAGCCCGAATATGTACTAATAATATCAACGAATTCACCTGGAGTTATAGCTCCATGCACCCAGGGGAGGAGATGAGTTAGACATTTCGGCAGTAGCTATACTTTCGAAATGCGGATCTCTATAATGTTTAACTATTTGGATTCATTAGTAACACGCAAACGTCATTTCGCCTTCCAAGTTCTAGGAGGATTTTGATTTAGGGGTCTGATGACACTCAATCTTTTTTCCGTAATTTATAAAATGTTTCTAATGTGAATGCTCTAGTGTGCAGTAGAATGCACAATCTAGTGACTGGATTGTTTTATTTGATAGAGATTGCAATATAATGGCCTAAAATAACATAAACCGTTCGTCACAAAGCAAAAATTAAGTAACAATCCTTTTGTAACTATACGTTAAAAAAACCGACCACATCCCCCTCTTTATTGAAGTCGGTTAATTAATAAATTAACTAAAATCGCGGGTTACTCACGCGAATAAATTGAGAGAAGCCCTACTAGTTTCGAACCATAGAGGGGTTCTTCCTCATGAGCAGCGTGTGCGGTTGAGGCGATGACGCGATGATGTGAGTAACCCGCGATTTTAGTTAATTTAGTATGTCTCACGATAGTTATAGTTATTATAAAAACATCGGTTAATTAATAACATACTTAACCTTCTCCTAAATGTCGCGAGATAATCGCGCATAAGCATAAGTCATATAGGTCAAACTAACACCTATAAACGTACGTATAAAAACGACGTTTCATTTTTTTCAACTCCAAATATTTAAGTAAGATGAAACACAGCCCTTATTCTACTTTTCAAGTTTCATTTATTCAACGCGCGCTTGTTCTAATTTATTAAGAAATCTCTTCATATTTCATGCTCACTCCCTGGGCGCTCTGCAGATGTATTATAATGTTAACTGCACTTGATGTTAAGAATATTAGTACTGGAATTAATGTAGGGGAATGATCATCTTTGGTGAATTTGTTTAAGATATAACGTAGCGTCTCGTCATTTATTCCATAGTAGGGATCATGTAAGCTGCTGTTTGTGTTTCGTAAATATTCTTTTGCCAGTTGTGTTATAAAATGTACCTGGATGTGCTGGACTAGAGAATGCCCTCTTTTCTAGTATTTAGGTAAAGCTAACAAAAGTCATCAGATTTCCCAATGAAAATACTAGAACCATTATCACATCACATATTAAACTGTCAAACACCAAGCGGTCACCGGTGACCGCAACCTATTGTTCTTTAATGGGGATGATGACAGGATATGAAAATTAAAAATATAATTAGTCCGTAAGTTAGGTAATGAAAAAATATTAGACACGTATTTTTTTATTTTGTCGTATAATAAAACAATACTTACATAAAACGAATCAAAGTTCAGGAGTGGGGGCTAAAACGTCATTTCTTAGTATAAAACGTACTGAGAAGTGACGTCACGCGACATTTCAAATCAATATATCTTAGAAACTATTAGTTTCTGTGAGAAAATAAAAAATACGTGTCTAATGTTTTTAAATAATCTATCAGACGGACATTAAAATAAAAATTAGTCGTCTACCCTATTGTGTCTATAAATACGGTACTCGACGAGTTAAGACAAATAAGCATCCTTACAAGTAAAAAACCTTTTTAAAATACGAATCGCTCAACAGAAAAACGTTGGGTAACTATTGCATATATCTATCTACACATACTTTTCGGAAACGAGAACAACATTACAAAGTTGTAACCGCCGGGACGCGAACTGCGGCCAACTGTCAAACTGAGTAAATAGTTCCCAGCAATCCGCGTGCATGTGCTGTTTTGAATGAGAGCAAAATAATCTAACAAAACTGGAAGTATCAAGTATGGAGGAAGCGCGCTGTATAAAGTATACAGGAGATCCCTTCGAATATAAGTATAGAAAAAAGGATTTTAATGGCTTCATCATCAACAGCCTATAAATGCCCACTACTGAGCAAAGCCTCTTCTCACACTGGGAAGGTTTGAGCATTAATCACCACGCTTGCTCAATGCGGGTTGGCGATTACAGACTTATAATTAGAAATTATAAGCCCAGGCTTCCTCACGATGTTTTTCCTTCACCGTTTGTCAGTGGTGTCTAGATAATCTTAGTGGATTAAAAGTTTTAAAATGTTTTATACGAAATTCTGTACACATCACTACATAGTATAAAACAAAGTCGGTATCCGCCGTCTGTCTGTCCCTATGTATGCTTAGATCTTTAAAACTACGCAACGGATTTTGATGCGGCTTTTTTAATAGATAGAGTGATTTTTAAGGAAGATTTATATGTACAATATATGCATATTGGACCCGTGCGAAGCTGGGACGGGCCGCTAGTAATACAAGTAATACCTAAAATATTCTCTCCCAGTCGACCTATTGGCAGTCCACAGATACTAGTGACAGGCGAAGTTCACTTTACTATCTCAATTAAAAAAACGTCGTCTTATCTGCGACAAGTAGGTGTGCCTAACATTAAAAATTTGCATCTCACCGCTTTGGAGATCATAAGGCTTTTTTAAGGGGGAAAATCATCGAATGACTTCTTCCGCCTGGGTGAGGCGGGAGGGAGTGTCAGATTCTTACTAACTAAAAACCACACCGTACCTACTCTTGCCCTTCGAACCGGAGCCCCGGTAGCCCGTTAAGTTCTCCGCGGCCCCGTATCGGTATCAGCCGTATTGGACCCTATCCGTGGTGGTCTGATGGCTCTTTGAGGCGCGCGCGGAACGCGACACGCCGTACGCTCTAGTCTGACATTAGAAGGACTATCAATACTACGACGAAGTAATTTACATACGATAATCAAAACCAAAGCACACAGCAATACAATACATAGTAAACGTCACACATGTCACACACACACCCACACACACAACACTCATATCCAGTGTTTGGCGCAGAAAACTTTGTAAAGTTTTAATTAAAGGAAATTTTCCCCGAGACTGTAAGATGACGTCACAGTTTTGTGTCATGGCGCACGATGTTTTACTAGCGCCGCGCGTCGTTTGTAAGCTGTAACTCGTATATTGCGTGGTTACGAGCGTTGGACACTTTAGACTGGGATTTGTAGAGGTTTTAAACTTAACCAGTGGTATCTATCTACAAAATAAAATAAATACATATATTACATTTTATGGAGTTACATTTTATAGACTGATGACTGTTGATGAAATGAAAGAGGTATGTAAGAAACGTAGCAATTGGTGTTCCATAGTCTCTGCATACCCCCATGAGAGACAGGCGTATGACGTTTATGTATGTATGTATTTCTAAGGATTGAGGCACAGATGAACGTCATACTTCCGTAGCTGAACATTTTGTAGAACTTATAAGAAAACTTGGAATTGTTAGACTGCTTCATTAATTTTGTGGGGAAAGTGCAACATCTCAATACTTAAATCCCTCAGTGATCACGACCAGATTTACTTACGCAAATAAATGTCTTTATCTTTACTCAAAAACCTTAGAATTAGGATTTATTTTGAAGAGTGTACCAATAACATCTAGGCAATGGCATAGGCCAAAAGTGGGGGCTCCGGCTCGACGTGCAAGAGAAGGAACGGGGTGGTTTTTAGTCAGTAAGAGTCTGACACTCCTTCCCGCCTCACCCAGGCGGGAACAGGCAATCGATGATTTTCAACCCAAAAAAAAAATCTCAACATCTATGTAACAGAATCAAAAACATTAACTTCACACTGCAGCAGTTATAACTTCAACCAAGTTTGTCTGCTCATTCCTCCTACCGATACGAGCCGATACGATCCGATAACGGAATTCCCAGCGCGCCATCTGCCGACGATCTCCTTGAACTTACGTAAGGTGTAAAGTAGATTGTATAAGAAAAGCGCTGACCTACATTTTATATTAAAATCTTCTCGAAGCGTGAAATGCGGTTTTGAATTCATATTATGTTAAAGATCTTTCTTCTGCATAAATGTGGATCTGATTTTGCGAAAGAAAGTCCTTTACGTTTCAATTAGATATCCAATCAGAATTTGCTATTTTACCTATGAAATGTATTTCAAACGAAAATCGAAAATCCCCATTTTTTCTAAACGAATCACCTGATAGTAAGTAATCATGGATAACCATTCTCATTATGGACATAAAGCAGAGTCACAAAAGAATAGGGTAGATGACTAATTTTTATTTTAATGTCCGTCTGGTAGATTAGTTATTTTAAAATATTACACACGTATTTTTTATTTTTTTACAGAAACTAATACTTTCCATTATATATTGATTTGAAATGCGTGCCATCACATCTATACATGTACATTTTATACGTACAAATGACGTTTTAGCCCCTAATCCTAAACTTTGATTCGTTATATCCAAGTATCATTTTATTATACAACAAAATAAAAAATACGTGTCTAATATTTTTTTATTACCTAACTGACGGACTAATTAGCTAACTAATTATTTTTAATTTTCATACCATTACCATGTCATCATCCCTATTACCCGCTTTTAAAAAACTATTTCCATTATCTTAGTCATAAGCCATGTCCATAGCCAATAACATCTACCAACATTGATCAAATCCAGTGGTCAGTGGTTAGTCGGTAATTTGGTAGACATTCCTAGCCGGAGATAACATGACATTCCGGCCGCACTGACCATGTTCCAATAACATGGCGTCAGCAGAACTGTCTTACATGCTTGTAGGTTGGATTCTTAAACTTATGATTTCATGATAGTGTAGAGATATATATAGAGATAGATAGTATAGATAGATATTATATTTATTTATTTATTTTAAAGCTTCATGCACAAAATGTACATAAGGTGGACTTAATGCCGCAGGCATTTTCTCCCAGTCTGACCTTTGGGTGATGCAGAGAAGAGTTAATGATGTGAGCAAGAAGCAAGCAACTATTTAATAGAGCAAATTATAGTATATTTTTATAAAGATTTTGGTCTTAGTTTGTAATTAGTCAGTATTTATCGCTGATTTTTGTGGAAAGAAATTGGTTTTGCTAAACTTATAGTCGTAAGCACAACGGTCGAACAAAATCTTTGCTTTGATTTCCGAATTGAACAGAGCAATAATGAAACGTGATAAAATGCAGCAATTATTGTACAGCCTCATCAGCATCAGGTAAAATTCAAGATCAGATTATATCATTCTAATCCAAACTAATATTATAAATGCGAAAGTACGCCTGTCTGTCTCTCAGTCACGCCTAAACTACTGAACCCATTTGGATGAAATTTGATAAAGACATAGTTTAGAACTCGAGTAAGGTCATAGGATACTTTTATCCCGACAATCCCGCGGGAGTGGGAACTTCTCAAAGATCCTACGAGATCGGGAACTATGTGAGTAAAACCAAAAATCTGCCAGAAGTCACTATTCCACGCGAACGAAGTCGCGGGCAAAAGTTTGTTAATAATATTTAATTCAAAAACACATCTTCATTAATTTGACACGAATTTATAAACTTACACCTAATTCCTGTCATTATTATTTAATTTAACATTAGCTCACCCCTCTGCAGGTAGCAGTGTGTGTAAGGCACTGCATGCTTGATTGCGCGCGCGCAGAGCACTCGCGAGCCGCCTCCCCCGCGCGCCGACGTGCAGCGAGCTATCAGCTCCACCCAGCGCTCTACCACCTTGTCTCTACAACATATACAACATATTTACACACATTACATCACGCCTTATATCCCCGAAGGGCTAGGCAGACGTGCGTATTACGGCGCTTAATGCCACTGCACAATGTAACTGCAAAATATTTCCATTGCCATCTACGGTTGGTACGAATATTATTTTAGGGAGATTATGTTGTCTCTGTTGTCTGAACCTTGACTAGGACCTCGAGGGAGGAGAAAGGAAGATATCCGCTGTGAGACAATGGTTGAATGTGGAAAGCATGCTGTTGGAATGACCTATTAAGTCATACCCAGTGATGGAAATGAGGTGAAATGATAATGCTCTAATATTTTACGGATTGAAGAAATGAAATTGAAAACCATTACCAACAATCAATAAACAAACATTAAAAACCATCAACAATCCAAAGCGTTACCTGCACAAATACCCTGAAGGTGTCAAAAACTCCTCCCATTTGTCAGCCTCTCGGCCTGTAAGACGAATGCGTCCGTAGCCCACCGGTCCGGCTTGTAGACTGCAATCTTCCCCCAAGTTCAAGGGAGGAAGGGAGTCCAAGGTCACCAGGTATTCTAGGGAACGGGATCTCATCTGCCAAAAAATAATATACATGGATATTTTCGTACATGCCTATTTTCATTTTCTCTTCAAGATAGAAAATCCTTGTGGAAACCATTCGCGATGAGGACACGATGACTGTCAGACTCTCACTGACTCCAAATGAAAAAACAAAAAAAATCTCCTTATTATTCACTAATACGTAAGCAGCCTTTATACCTAATCTAAGTATTTTGATTTACTATATCTAACTATTATTATTGGTTTACAATTATGATATTTAGTCAAGAAATGATTAATTTCGGACCAAAACCCCAAATCTGCGCTATCCGTTATCTCTTAAGTATACTGATGACGTTAAAAGTATGTTTCCTTGATCCTTCCTACCTTCTTCCCTCTATGCAATGCTATGAGATGACAGCATCTGAACCTGGGGTCCCTCTGTCCTGCTCCGTCTACTATCCTCTGGACGAGACTCTCCACTGCACTCTCCAGCTCCGTCGAAATGCGCCCTAATTTAAACAATAAACTACTAATTACTTAAATGACTAAGATGAGTGAAACTTATACAAAGGGTGGATATATGTATTACGAAATTGTACTGTTTCCTGAATTTAATTATTCTATCATCCGTCACCCCATTTGACTAAACATAGTTGCTTCATAAACAAGTAATTTGTATTGTAATAGGAAACTACAACAATGCTGACATACAGCCATTATCAAATAGTTGAAAGCATATAGAAGCTAATAAGTACGGCAGAAGACAATTCTTTTACATTATGTGTACCTACAATTACATTTACAAATGAAGGTATAAATGACAAACCTGTTTGATCTTCCTCCCAAAGATTATCCACATATGAATTGAGAGTTCGAAGCTGGTTGAGAGAGAACCGCAGCCCAGATGCAGGTAGACGTAGATCACCGCCTGGCGTCTCACTCGCCAAGCTTGACGCTCCCGAACCCATCTTTAAGGACGTCGCTGGGGAATAAATATGACAATGTATAGATCACTATGTTTTTATCTGTTTATGTAGATTTAGATCAACCTGCAGCACTTTTAAACACTATCAGAGGTTGATCATCTTACAACCAGTATAATTTAAATCTACATCTACGATTCAAAAGCTACATTTCTAAACCTAAAACTCTAGTTAAAATTACAAAACCGAAACTTCAATAATACTTTTGTAAGTCAGGGAAATCAGAACTAGTCTTGATTTTCCTTTCCTTGGCGTGCTTAGCTTGACTCTTCCGGTCACTTAAGCCTAGAAGCCAGCTCTCAATATGACCGGCTAGTCAAACCTACATGTACAAGAAGCACCTAGGTATAATAAAATGTACGATATAGTGTAAACAGATGACACAGGCGTGCGTGTCAACATGCAATGAGCAAGTTCCATCATCATATTAATTATTTCGATGTTATCTGAATGATGAGTCGACATTGAACGATAAACACAATGCCAACACGACACCATGACGATGACGAGAGATGTGACCTTTCACCTTGGGATGTCACATGCACATGTGCCAAACTATTAAACAATACCCCCACTTTAGGTTATTCTCCTGTGTTTTGGGTTAGGTGCATTCACTATCAATTGAATAGGTACACGTCGCACCCAAATCACATATAAACTCTTTTAACTGTCCTCAAAAGTCATTAAATGCCCTATTTTTCAACAGTTAGGTCTATTTGTATCTCCCACGGAATAAGACTTTCAATATTTTGTATTATCTTAGCCGTCAGTTTATATCTTCAGGGAAAATAAGAAACCAACATGGCATTGTATGGATGTTAAACTATAATACATTATGATGAGTCATAATGTTTATCCCATACAATCTAGCTTCCCACCAATTTACCCCAAACACGACGATCAATACAATCACAATCGATTATTGTGTAACATTGATGCCACGGTGTGCGCGGGCGCACAATGTGGGCAGAAATCAAAATGGCGCCGATTGTCATACTTCCGCCGGAAGCGCATTATGCGGTGCCGGTGATGCGAACAGGTGACCGTGGTCTGTTATCTACGTGGACTTGTTTACACGATTTATGAACGAATATTTTGACTTCAATATCACATGTTTACACCGCAACAATTTCCTGGTTTGAAGATAATAGAAGTAAGTACCTTATCCTTAAGTAACCTTCAGAAGTTAGGAGGTGGCTAACTAAGAAGGTATACGCATACCTAATTTATATTCCAATACAATCACCATATTAAATTCAATTTTGTTATTTCAGTTGTAACAGTTCCTGGTTTCTTTAGAACTATGAGACGGTAAAACATTATTTTAAGAAGTATAGAATACTGCAAGCTCTTTTTAATTAGAATCCGTTAATTATTCTCTGTTACCTCCAAACTATCTCCTAGAAACCTAAATCCATTTAAAATGTCAAACAGAATGAGTCCACAGAATCTTTCTTTCTATACAATGGAATGAGTCAGTTCACAATGCTTAGTGAATTCTCTCAATGAATTTATTAACCAGCAATATTTAGCCTTCACGCCAAGTAGATAAGGCTTGAATGAAAAATATTATACAAGAGTCGATACTGTAAAATATAATAATTTACAAAAAGAGGAGATGATGTGTAGTCATAACTGAAATATGTGTGTAGATATATGTACATACGTAGTGGAACCTAAAGAAGTACCAAAGTTTAAACGTTTTCAAATCGGCCCAGGTTTTCTAAACCGCTAGCAGCTAGTCATAAGGTTATACGTCCATTTGTAGAATCTTAGTGCGAATATAAGTGATGATTGTAAATTTTAGTGCTTAGATATCCTTTCACACAAAACTAAACCACTGCAGATATATAAGTGAAATTGACAAAAAGATACCTATATTACTTTTTCTTAAAGGGGTATACCTGGGTGTCTTCAAGGCCCGTGTCAATAGGTTGCGGTTGCTTATATGGGCAGACGTTCTCCATTGTAGGCCACATTATCGCTTACCACCAGGCGAGATAGTAGCCAAACGTCCGGTCCATCAAATATAAAAAAATACTTCTTATTCTTATCCTAGCTATTCAGATATATTAGCGACTACTATCTACAAGAATGACTAAAATAAAAATATATCATACACCTATTTTAATACGCAGTAGCCCCAGACAGTAACAAATCATTAAATAAGTTTCAATTGTATTCAGAAACTACATATTTTACGTATTTGTATTTGAAAACGTCCCATACATCATGGCATGGTAATGAGTGCGATTAGGCGCCAGCTCATGCGACAGAAGTATTCGTATAGTTGTATAGACGGAAGCCAGTCGACCATAACCAGCAAAAAAAGATAAATAACTATTGTAACCAGACTATTAGTTAAAAAAAAGTAATTGGTGAGTGTTGAAGGGTACTGTGGTACTGAGATTGGGACGCCATTGTCCCTGTGTTAAGTTTTAATTATAGATGGCTTGTGTAGTATTTATTTTGGCTTTATTCATTGGAATTAGAATGTAACTTAAGTGGCACTTTCTATTGTCTTATTCAAAGACATAATACCTAAAATATGTACATACATAGTTAATTAATACCTACATGTTTTTTATAATAACTATCGTGAGATACACAGAAATATTGAAAAAGTATATCTGTGGTGAGTGAGACATGTTGAAATAACTAAAAATTTACGAGTGACATTCGTCAATATACTGAGAAAAGCTGTATTAATTTTGAATCACAGAGGGACTCTTGCTCACGTGCAGGCTAAATTAGTTATACAGATAATAAAGATCCTCCAAGAGAAGAGGGTTTTGAGTTTGGTTCTCGAATCTAGAATCCTGTGAACAGTATATTACATAGGCTAATGCTGAAACCTACATGGGACTCGTAACATAACAGCTTAAATGTGACTGTAACGTTAGGTAATTTAATATATGGGGCCTCTGCCGACCTCTCTCTTCGAAAAAGCGAAATAATAAGTTACGTAATTCCACTATAGAATAGAATGAGAATCCGAAACTAATAACATCGCAAATACTACTTTATGAAGTACCAACCTAAGTACTTATAGACGTCACATCGCATGCTCAATCACTGGAATAATCGACAAAGTAGCCAATCGATTAATGAATAATTAATTCATAATTAGTTTGCTATTACATCACCTTGAGATACCGGCCCTAATTCCCATAAACCATGGTGATGGTAGATGGTGAGTCAACGCAGTGACGGACGGACGGTGTAATCCTCTTGTACCATACCATACCATAGATAAGGATAAGATTACACAGTAGATTAGGAAGAATGAGGTGATGACATCTTGAGATGGGATCAACGTGTGAGTGAGGTTACCGGATGGCCAATTACCCCCCCCCCCCCCTTTCCCCAATCCCTGAATCCCCAACAATCCTCAAATTCCTAATCCCAAAAGGCCGGTAACGCACTTGTAATGCCTCTGGTGTTCCAGGTGTCCATGGGTGACGCCGATTGCTTACCATCAGGTTGTCCGTCTGCTCGTTTACGGGCTTATCCCATAAAAAAACGTGAGCTGTTTGTTTGTCCGTAGGCCTTACAGGAATCAACTTATGTTTATTTTATCATTTTTGTTGTTAAATATGTATTAGTAATTGTATGTAATTAGATAAGTACATAATAATGACTCGAACCTACGACGGTTACTAATTTCAATTCTTTAAACACTTTAATGTTAATATTTTATTCAGATAAACCAACCATGTACAACCAAGATATAACTAATTCGTATAATGTGAATGTAAAAAATAACAATAAAACATTTTAATATTTAAAACTTCGTCTTAAATAAACTCGTCATTAACGCTGAATTAACACATAAATTATTATATCTTTATGTTTGTACGTGTAGCTGTGGTAGCTTAAAAATATGGCTACATGTATTTTGGTACATGAGTTTTAGCCTAAAAAAACTTATAAGATAGATAGGTACCTATAGTCTCTTTCTAACTACTTGCTTAGATAACTAAATATTATACTTAAGATGATAATTAACCCTTTGAGTACCGTCATTATAGTCACCACAGAAATATTCTTCTTTATATTATATCTGTGATAGACACAATTAAAGAACAATAGGTTGCGGTCACCGATGTCCTCGCGGTGTTTGACAGTTCAAAATAATTATAGTTTTTATGTAGGTAATTATTCTGAACCTGAAAATGGCTTGATCAAATATCAGTAGTAGATAGATACGGAACTACCTACTTTCCAAATTCATTCATCGAGTCCATTGAGTTATGTCTATCTCAATGATCGGGTCTGTTCACAACTCCATATTTAAACCCCTATTTATTTGTAAAACATAATAAACACGAACAATATAAAAGCAAACAAACAAAATAAACATAAATACCTGTTTTTCCAGAACTTTCACAATATTCACAAAACGAAACTAAAAACAAACTTCCATAGCTGTCAAAATTGCCGCGCTAACTTTGCCGCGTATTTTCCCGAGGCACAGGCGACGCGCCATACAGCCACGCAACAAATGTTTGTGTCCGAACACCACTGTTTACTCTGCCATTCCGCCTTTGTTACCATGGAGGTTTGTTGGAGGACGAATCACCTATTATTTATCATAATATCGCTTTACACTTTTCGGACAAAAACATGTTAGTTTTCCGCGCGGGTTCTGTGTTATTAGAGGCTATTACAGTACTAATAATTTTGCTTGAAATTGTTTTTATGATTTTAAAATCTTTATTATTATTTAGTGGCTTACTCGTGAATGTAATGAGTTTACTTAGATTAAAAAAACTTAATTTTGTCTTATGTGTATTATGGTTTATGATAGATGGGTATTGATGGTGACTGCACCAACTGCCAACTGCCAACCACTGGGTTGGCAGACTCATCTGGTGGTACTGGTACTGATTATACGATTCCTGCATAAATCAATTACTTCAATCAAAGGATCTCCGATAAACCGAGTAATTATGCCTAATAATTTTGTGCTAATAAGCAAACAT